TTCCTAGATAAACGAGCACAACAATAATAATACTAGAGCTCTATGGCTTACGCGGTATAAGGTAAAATATTGGTAAAAATGTGGTCCCTGTGATAGCACCGTATAATGGCCAAATATGGAAAATGTTGTATGTATTTTTTATATTTCATTAAAATTTTAGTTACTCAATTGTGATGGCTTCATTTGTAAGGCAAAGAAATGCGTCTATTCTCTTAAGACTGCCATGGGATATGAATAACCAACTACATAAGCTGGAGCGGAGTTCATCATTTGACGTAAAAACCTCATGTTATAGAATCAAGAGAGCACGAACAAAGAAATCAGACTAAGCCATAGCCATGAGGAGAGTGAAATGGAGCGAGAGAAAAGATCAACGGAGGGAGAATGAAATGAAGAAAAAAGCGAGGTGATGAAGCTGTAGATGTAAAATACAAACTCCATTAAACAGAAATAGTTATGAGGGGAAACGTTAAGAAAAACAACTGAAAAACAGAGTGACAAGAAAGAATATGCAGTTAAAATCAGTGGATAATAATGAAACAATATAGACACAATTGGATTTGACAGATAACACAGTGAAAATAAGGTAAAACTAAGGATAGAAGGGGCCAGAGCTGGCCAGAAATCAAGAGTCAAATGTTATTAACGTGAAAATGTAGAAGAGGAAGATGGGGACAGAGACAGTGAATAAAAATGACAGTGCCTGAGAAAATGTACTGAGACGAAGAGACGGAGAACACAAATAACACTGAGATTGGACCAGACCTGGTTGCAAAAATAAATTGTCAGTTTAACACGTAGGCTTTCGCGACCAATATCATTCATAATAAATGTTTTTTGGTTTAGATCGCGTAATCATGAATGTGTCGTAACCCTCCACCACCTGACACAGCCAGTAAGGTTTGTCACATAAACAACGCGCCAATGAGTTACACTTTCAGCCCACCGGTGTGTTGGAGAGTAAACCCACGTTTACAATTTGAATACGGCGTTTCGCTGGTAATTACATCCAGCATCATCGGGCGATTTTCCAGAATAGTGAAGCATTCCACCTGCTTACTGTCTTAAATAGAGCAAGATGACGTCATCACTGAACCCATCAGGTGCATAGATCAAAGGCGGAGGGGGGGGGGGTTAGTGTTTACATAAAAAAGTACCCGGATACCTTCGATAAGGCCCGTGGTGAGCCAGCGCTATTCCATTTTGGCCTCCGTCAACTATAAAGTAGTTAAATTAACAATTTAGTGCTATTTTTATTCATTTATTTCCTTATGCCCCTGCACGCATTTGCGCATGCACGACAAAGGTGACCGGGGGTTGCCCCTAGCAACGCACACGCCTTCGTTGGTGCAAACAAAATACAAACAAAGCTGAGGAAAACTCTTCAAAGTGTCATATCCTCTTCTCCCCCCCGCCCCCCAATGTGTGCACTTACTACTTTAGGGTCGGTAGATACTAATATTATAGCGCTTAGATACTATTATTGTAGAGCGGGCGGGGGGATGGTTGGGGAGGGCGAGGGAAGCGGCCTAGCCCTAGCCTACCAAGGTGCCACCTCGGATGGCAGGGCAACCTAGGCGAGGCCTGGGGCTCTGCACGGGACTAGGCCTCACGACGCCACTCTGTCAAGTTAGTAGTTTGCGCTATAGAGTCGATATATACTGCTACAGAGTCAGCATGTACTACTGTAGTGATAGCAGGTACCACCACAGTCAGCATGCACTGCTGTAATCATAGTAGGTACCACCACAGTCAGTATGCACTGCTGTAGTGAAAGCAGGTACCACCAGAGTCAGTATGCAATGCTGTAGTCATAGCAGGTACCACCAAAATCGGTATGCACTGCTGTAGTGATAGCAGGAACCACCAGTTGGTATGCAATGCTGTAGTTAAAGCAGGTATCACCATAGTCAGTATGCACTGCTCTAGTAAAAGCAGGTACCACCAAAGTCGGTACGCGCTGCAGTCATCATAGCAGGTACCACCACAGTCGGTATACACTGCTGTAGTGATTGCAGATACAACCAGTCAGTATGTACTGCTGTAGTGAAAGCAGATACCACCACAGTCAGTATGCACTGCTGTAGCAAAAGCAGGTACCACCAGTGGGTATGCACTGCTCTAGTAAAAGCAGGTACCACCAAAGTCGGTATGCGCTGCAGTAATCATAGCAGGTACCACCACAGTCGGTATGCACTGCTGTAGTGATAGCAGATACCACCACAGTCAGTATGCACTGCTGTAGTGAAAGCAGATACCACCAGTCAGTGTGCACTGCTGTAACAAAAGCAGGTACCACCACAGTCGGTATGCACTGCGGTAGTGATAGTAGATACTACTGTAGTGGGTATTGTTAGCGTAATATGCCGTCACCACAACTGACACGGTGTAGCGCCAGGAATGGGTCAACAGGGGGCAAATGCGAGTCCGGCCTGTATAAAGTAACGTCGTTAGGCCAGGGCACCCAGAGGGTGGTTCGGAACCGGAGGTACACACCCCAGGCCCCCAGTGGAGGCTGGGGGATTACGCAAATAATACAGGTACCTCCAGAAGGTTCTGGAGAGTAGGTGTGGCCAGGGGCGGAGTGGCCCTGGGCACCGTATATAAGCCGGACCTCTGAACGGGTTTGCCAGTCGCTGTCAAGCAAAAGACGGAAGAGTCAGCCCAAAATAGGACCCTGAGAACCCCTAGACCCAAGTCCTTGTCAGGGCCGGGACCGAGTGGACCAGTGGTCGGGACCCGAGGACCTTAGGTGGGTCGGGTCAGGCTAGCCTCCCCTAGATCTCCCCCTAGCCGGAGGGCTGTGATATAGGATGGTCCCAGTGATTAGGGCACGCTCGCCCGGAGGCTATACCTCCCCAGGGTATCGGGTGAAGGTGGCCGTTACCCCCTTGTGTTAGGGACCTTGTGTTACTGTTATTATTGTTATAAATAAACATGTCTCCATCCGTACCCACTACACACACTACTGTAGAGTCGTGCTTCGTGATGCCCTGTGGGATTGTAGACTCAGACGGAGACAAGGGTTGAATATTCAGGGCTGCTCGCTGTTTATTCACGCCAACATCCGCACTCTTCGTTCCGTCGTGGGTACTCACTACTCCCTGTCTCTTAGCCCTCTCTCCCGACTCCCTCGAGCTTCGTCCAGGCTACCTCAAACTCTTCCACCCATAGCCTCCTTTGCCTCTCCGACCCAGGAGACTTTCTATCTGCTACCTGGCTCCTCTCTCTCTCCGACTCTCCTTTGTCTCTAACCCCTCCCCTTCAGGTTCCCCTTTTATCCCCATAGTCCGGGCTCCTCCCTTTTACCTGGCTCTCCTCCTTCTACCTGCCTCCCTCACTAGCAGACATCTCACTCTTTCTACTTCCCCTCCTCTCTCGGCCTTCTGGCACTCCCCTTTTTGCTTGGCCCCCTTCCCGCGGTTGCCCCTCGTTGGGTTCCCGCAGTACTCCTCTACACTACTATAGAGTTAGTAGATAAAAAAACAGTCAGTACATACCACTATGGTCCGTAAATACTGCTGCAGTTAGTAGATACTACTATAGAGTCAGTAGATACTGCTATAGAGTTAGTAATTACTACGATAGTCAGTGGATACTATTATAGAGTCAGCAGATACTACTATAGAGTTAGTAGTTACTATTAGAGTCGGTAGATACTACTGTAGGACCAGTAGATACAACTACAGTCAGTAGATACTACTATACACTCAGTAGATACTACTATACAGTCAGTAGACACTACTGCCTCAGTAGATACTACTGTGCAGTCAGTAGATACTACTACAGAGTCAGCAGATAGATGCTACTTACTCTGTTGTATGTAGAGTCTGTAGGTATATTACCTACGCGGGGGTAAAAATATTGGAGGGGGGGACTAGTCCATCTGAACTGCCAAAATCGCTGTCCGTGGTACTAACGTTAAGAAAAAAACCGCCACTCTTATCAAATTTTCTTGCTGTGGTTTTCACACCTGATGATGATTGCTTGTGTTGCAGTCGAAACGTCGTAATAATTTTATTGTTTTATATTCTTATTATTTTATTGTTTCCCTTCTAAGTGACTTTACCGAAAGAACCAAGAATATATTTACCCCCACTTTCTATAACTTTTTGTTGGTAGAGAAATGGACAAACGACCTACCCGGTTTTCAGAATAGCTTAATATCTGTGTACGTATATGTAATGTTTTAAAGATAAGTTTTGAAATATATTTTTTTCCCGGGCAACGCCGGGTACTTTCCGCTAATTACTTAATAATACGCTTCCAGGCCGTACTCAGCCTGTAGCTGTCAGAGCGGTTAAAATTATTTATATTTCTCTCAATTTCAATGGATTCTCGATTTAGTCTCAGCCAGTAATAACTAGTTTGACACAACACTTCAACTTTATCAAAATCAATTGAGTGTCCTTGTTGACAAGCATGTTCTGCCACTGCCAACAGTTGTGTTTGAGATAATTTAATATTTTTTCAGTCTTCTTTTAATCTTACGCTAATGTTACGTCCCGTCTGTCCAACACACCGGTGGGCTGAAGCAGTAACGTAATTGGCGCGTTGTTTACGTGACAAACCTTACTGGCTGTGTCGGGTGGTGGAGGGTTACGACACATTTATATTTTGATTTAAATTTTGATTTAAAGCTTTCGTGACTGCAGGGATTGATATTCTTGGTTCTTTCGGTAAAGTCACGTAGAAGGGAAACAATAAAATAATACTTAAGCGATCTAACCCAAAAACCTTTATTATGAGTAATAAATTATCATTACAGCAGCGACGTTCGCTCAAATGACAATCACAATCACAATCGCATTGTGCTTCCGATTGATTACCATTGACAAAATTATAATTTTGAGTGTCCTCCCCAGGTCTGGACAGAATCCCATTCGACGTATAGAAAAATACACACACAGTCAGTAGGGGAGATCTACGACAGAACCGTACACCAGAAACAGAGCAGCCAGAAAGGGGAACACACAACAGCAGTTTCAGCAAAGCCTTACTTTCGTCTGAGTCACAGCAGCTTGGCGGAGCAGGGCTTGCGTGCAGGCGGGAGGAGCTGCCGCGCCGCCAGTGGCCACTGCCGCTGCATGCGTGTTGCACCGTGCTGACATCGTCAGAGTCATCGTCAAACATCTTACCGTCAGGACCAGGATCCATGAAGCTCAGGGCTGTGTAACAAGAGGTGGTCAGAAACTCCGACAACCTGCCTGCCTGCACCCTGTGGTGGAAAGGAGTGTGCAAAGGGTGCGCGGGGAGGAGACGACAAGAGAGGAGAGGGAGAGATGATCGCGTGGAACGAGGCAGCGCAGCTATACATTAAAAAACCGTGCAGCGCATCAACAGGAGGCTCACTTCGTCGTGTAATAACGTACGGCCCTTTTGTCAATCCACCACTGCTAGGTGAAGGCTTCACCACACTCTTGACAGTCATGGGAGCTGTTTTGTCCATACTGTGCTTAAATGGTCAGTCTGGATTGTGGGTTGGTAAAAGAGAGGGGACATAGCTCAGGACCGGTTCAGATATCGCTCGCCATCGATGTCAGCCATTGCCAGGAATCGAACTAAGGCAAAATGCGTCAATGCTCTAACCCCCTCGCTATCTCTTACATTATAAAAGTGACTTCTTTAAAATTGTGTGTTTACATCTCCATGAAGATTACATGCTTTGTGCCTTCGACTGGCATTGCACGTGGCTAAAGCTCCGTGATATTGGCCACCCGTTGTCACTTGCTTGAGGTCAGGGGTGTGTCAGCTCAGATAATGCTGATTACACTGTGTAGGGATGCTTTCGTGGTGTAATGGTTGGGACACTGGTTTTGCCAACCAGATGTTGCAAACCGACACACCTGATGACGACCGTTTGTGTTATGGTCGAAACGTCGTGAGAATTTTTATTGTTTTATATATATATATTATTATTGTATTGTTTCCCTTCAACGTGACTTTACCGAAAGAACTAAGAATATGAATTACTGCAGTCACGAAAGCTTTAAATCAAACATTTCAGATGTTGCAAGTTCAATTTCGAATTCTGGCAGTGCATGTAAAACGCATTGAACAGGTTTCTTAAATTTCGCACCACCCCCATCTCTGTCCACCCAAGATTACAAATAGGTTTGTGATAAGCAGTTCTCATGTGGTGGGGTACTGAGATTAGTTTGGTGCTCTCAATGTTCAAATGATGGCCCAATTTGTTGAGCTATTATTTGTGGCCAGGTCGCTTCTGAAAAATAAGTGAATACATCAGTGGGCTTTGCCTGGTAGGATGGGGATGGTTTAATTTTAATTGTTTCTGTTTAGGTTATTTGTTTACCTTTCTTGTACTTTGCAACTCCTTTCACGTGTTCGTACTGTTTGTTGTTCTACCGTTCTTACCCGCCCCTACTGGACATCTGTGAAAAAGAGCTTTATAGCTCATCAGATTCCTCCAGTATAAATATTTTGATTCTGAAAGTGTGAGCGATTTCGCCGACCTTTTTCAATGTCTTTAGCAAGAATGCAAAAGTAGGCCAAAATACCTTCGGGAAGGGAGAGGGGCTCTCCAGATCTCGCTAAAATTAAAGCCCTTTCACCAAGAGTGGTTCGAGCAAGTAATTTCCAGGCTGCGCCTTTATATTAATACTGTACCGTGTCACTGGCCTCAAATACTTTGACATGCTGTCACTGCATAGGAGAATGTTAAGATACTTTGACATGCTGTCACTGCATAGGAGAATGTTAAGGCCCCCAAGAAGTCAGCACAGCCCAATAGGTAGGGAAAGAAGCCTTTCCTGCTTCTGTTCGCACTTAAGGGTAGCGCATATGGCCAGGGTGGCGAGGTGTTAACTACCTCGCCTGGTATACAGGTCGTGGGTTCTATCCCGACCCCGAAGCCTGGTGTATATTTGGAGTTTGCATATCTCTCTCCCCATGGTCATGTGGATTTTTTTCTCCGGGTCCTCCAGTTTTTTCGCCACGTTTAGAATCATTGTGCGTTCAGAGTATTTGGCTGCCCTATATTTCCACACAAGCCACTTTGTTGAGCTATCATTTATGGCCAGGTCGTTTCTGAAAAAGAGCTACATAGCTCAGTGGGCATTAACTGGCAAGATACAAAAAAATATTTCAAACATAATTTATTTATCACACGGGCTTCTATCTGAAATGTTACTTGCTCGATTGTTACGATTATTCCTTACCTCGCTCCGGCAAAATAGCCGTCTTGGAGTTTCCTCAAGGTGGCCAAAACGGCAGGGTCAACATCCTTGCCGCTCTCCGCTGCACGACCACACACACCATACAGAGGGGGATGTCACAACCCGGCAGATCTTATATTATCTTACATTTATATAGCGCCTTTAAACGAGGCGCTTAATATAATAAATATGCAGTATAAACAAAAAAAATAATTTAGATGGCAGGGGCATGCGAAGGATGAGTTATGGGTGACTGCGATAGAGGGCGAGTACGGGATAGTGAAGGGTAAGGGAGGTGTTCACAATAGAGGGGTAAGTAAGGGATAGGGAAGGGGATGGGAGGGAATAAATGGAGGGGCGGGGGGAGGGGAACAGGAAAATAATGGGCAATGGAGAAGAGGTGAGCTTTGAGAGAGGAACGGGAGGAAGTTAACGGGCCAGATTGTACAGATGCAACACAAAATCAAAACCAACCCCGAGGTTACTACCTAAATAAATACTGCTGTAAAAATTTATCTAGAATGCCCATTGGGCGAGAGAATTAATAATACAAATATTTTTGTTGTCGTTTGTTTTTCCCCCCCAAGTGTTAACCCGACGGTGCTGTCAGCAATACACAATGAGATGAAGGATCCATTCTGATCTTTCACACAGCAGCGCGACCCTCAATGCTAGAGAATGTCCCACAGGAACCAGATATCACAGAGCTGCCTCTTAAATCCCTTCAAAGTGCCCTCCTCTGATCCACAGTGGAGGGCAACACTCTCCCACCCACTCTGCTACGGAGAACAATGTTTGTCGCAAGAAAATCAAATCAATATTTAATTCTCAGAGCTGAAATTTTGCCAATTTATTTGACTCGCCAAATTTATTGTGATGGATTTTTGTACACTCATTGGCCGCCGGGCTGAGAACATAAACTCACTACACTTGAGAACCTGGTTAATCACGGGCTGCTGCCCAGATTTGATCCCAGAATCTCAGCAGTGCCAGCTCAGAGCTCTGACCTCAAGACCCAACCAACACTGCAACTTGTATGCAATTTACAATTCTCATTTTAACGACGAAGGCGAGATAATCAATGGACTTCCATGTGCGCCAACCCCATCGTGCCAACATCGTTTGCCAGACTCCTCACTGAGCATGGTGTGCGTGACGGGGAACGTGACAGTTGGCCTCCCAGTCATGCGCCAGCGCGAACACAGGTACGACAGATCCGTGCGCAGCATTTCCACGATCATGCGGCTGTCCAAGGCCAGGTAGAACTGCTGCTCATCTATGAACTACACACGCAGAGGAAACGGCAGATTAACCAGGAAGACCTCAAGTGCATGTTATAACAAACCTGTGCAATTGCACAACTCCAAATAAAATCAATATTTATTGTACTTATGGAGGTCTAATATATATGCATTGTTATGCATTGTTGACTGTGTATAATCAGAATCAATGTGCCCACATCAGGTGAACCGAGTACTTTACCATACTCCAGGCTCCTATGGCAGGGAGTAGACACTCAAGTGAGGCTTTACCGGCTCAACAATCGAAATAAATACATTACACTCCGGTCATCCTCGCAGCGGCTTTTGGCTAGCACATTCAGATGTGCTTCTGCGGCTGTCTGGAATGCTCTTCCTTACAATATTAGGAAGCCACTGGAGCTATACACTTCTAAATCTAGATAAAAAACTAATTTCTTTAGAACTGCTTTTTGTGTTTAGTTTGTTGTACTTCCTCCGTACCTCCGATTAGCACGGTTGGCTACATGCGGTGCAAAGGAAGTTCAACATATAGTACATAACGATGAAAAGAAAAAAACAATCTGGCACAAGAGTCGTACCTGGGGAGTGAAGGCGAAGATGTTGTTGCGGATGACGTAGAGCTTAGATGTTCCCAGGACGCCAATGTGGTGGTACGGGCGGCCAGACAGCTTCAGCTTCTTGTTGCGGCCTTCAGCGAGAGGACATTCGCAGCACCATCATCACCGCACTCACGATGCACCACGCGGTCGCACGGCCTCCAGCTACTCAAAACAGATCAGTGTTTTAAAGTGCGTGCATGTTACGGGTAAGGTCTACTTTTTTTTGCGTGAACCTTTTGTGGTTGAGAATCAATGAAGGAAATGAAAATACTCTGGAGAAGATGCCATGACAGCCAATATGAGCGGGTAGGCGGGGGGGGGGGGGGGCATTAGAAGGCATCGTTGAGTCTCAAAACTCTTTTACAATGTATTTGTTGTGGGGTGTGATGCTGCTGTGATGTGTAATCCCAACTAAGTACTTTGCAGGTAATTAGCATTGCGATGTTTGGCCGATACCAGTTACCATGTATGTTTCCTTTGAGCTATGGGAGGAATCTGGGAAAACCCAGAAGTCACCCATGCAGAACAAGGGACGAACATACAAACTCCACGCAGAAAGGCGCTCGAGTCGGGAATTGAACCCAGGGCCTTCCTTGCCATTAGGTATGAGTGTCACCACTGCGTTGCAACCTTGCCACCCAAGGCAATAAACGTGCAACAAGTGTAGGGTGGTGGCGAGGGGGCATGCGTGCCTCACCCAGACGGGCATAGATGTGGCTAAGGATGCGCGCTGGCTGCACGCGGATCGGATGGACGTCTGCCGTGGTCTCCACCATGAAGCCGTGGCTCTGCAGGATCTCCTTGATCTCATTCGTCTCGGCCAGGACTGCCACTGCACGCGCGGGGGGGGTCAATAAGCAAACGGGACCTTTAGGCCCTTTTTTTTGTCGTCGCATCGCAAGACATGTCGACCAATCAGAACACTCGCAGAGCAGCACACTGTAGAAGTAGACAATCATAGAACTACCCCTGGGATCCTTTCTAGTCGAAGTTTTTTAAATGCACCCCAGGGGGCAAAATGTCCCCTGTGCACATCTCGACAGATTATCCAGATCATTTATTTGAATAAATTAATAAACGGCATGCCAAAAAACTTGCACTTACTAAAGGAGAAGAAAACGTGATTTGTGCCAACAGCCAAAGGTAATTCAGTTCATAAACAAATACGAATGCATACATGACACAGGACAACATTATCACTAAAGTGTCTCTGCCAGTGACCATGTGTTGGTGTCTGGTTGCCCTCTGAGGTGCTCGTTAACATACTTGCCCCAACGGTCTGTTAAGTTTATATGGGGGGGGGGAATCTTGGTCTTTGTCTCTATTTCCCCTCTGCAAGAAAATCGTTCCCCATCCCTGCCGTGGCATAACGCTGGACTGAGCCGTCACCGCTTAGAGTGGGGGGGGGGGGGGGGGGGGGGAGTCGAACCTTGCACAACGACATCTGGCTTGGGAATAGTCGACAGGCGTCTGTTGAGAGGGTCGATTTCACCGGGAGCCAGGAATCCCTGCCGAAAGAGAAATGCACCGACCGTGTCCCACGTCGCCACTCGAGTCGCAACAACGCTCAGTCCACACCATAGGAGAGGGCTCACTTCGTGGAGACTCTTGCACGTGTACAGTGTTGTGTCAATCCACTGCCGGATGGCAGCCTCCCTGAAGGCGTGGGTCATGGGAGGTTATATGAGCACTGACAACGGCAAATTTCTTAAATATTGATATGCAGATGATTATGTTTGTTGGTTAAATAATCTACTATACTTTGTGTGCAATAAAAAAGGACCATTGCCTGAAACGTCACCTATTCCTGTGTATATTTCCATTTAGGGCTGTGTTATTGACGAATGCGTTGAGTTTTTGTTCATCTCTGCTTGTGCATCACTGCCAATGCAGCAGCATCACCACATAATCTGCTTCAGAGATGCGACGGCTCATTTGACATTTTCTATTTAACAAGGGAGACGTAAACGACCCGTGTTTTCTCGCTCAAGTTTTGGAACAGCGCCAAGTTAAATGGACAATAGAGTAGTTTCAAACACAGTTTAGCTCTTTGATACTTATATGGTTTTTTTGCAGAGCATATTTGGTCTGCAATCACTTTAGGAGTAATCATCTAAAAATGCCAAACTTTGTTTTGTACCTCCAGTAAAAATAATAAATAATGAATATGAAGGGACAAATCTTAAGGTTTAGAACACATTTTTGGCAATTTCACCATACAGTGGTTTCCTCACATTGTGTGATGAGGTCATGGGGTCTTTTATGGTCAATTTATAGGAGAGGACATTCTTTGACAGTGTACATATGTTGAACTCCCCAGGTGCCACTCTTTCCTTTTGTGCAAGATCGTTTATTCTTCTTATCCGTACATAGCCAACCATGCTAATCGGAGGTACAGAGGAAGGACAACAAACTAAGCACAAAAAGCCGTGGTAAAAAAAATCGTTTTTAATTTAATAATCGTCCCCATACCCCGCTCATCACCTCCCATGCAGCATTAACAAAAAAAATCTTACCCAACTGAACCAATAAACGACAGAATAAAAGCGATTGCTTATATAGTCAGATTAGAGCCGGGCTATAATGATGTTCACTGAACGCAGGCGGAGTGGGGCATGCATGCAAGTGCCACTGTGGGTGTGCTACCTCTGCCAGCAGGCTGCTGAGGATATACAGAGACTGCCCCCACATGTGCGGCAGCTTCCCAGCAGAAACCCGGTCCACCGTGTGCGGCTTGCGGTACTCCTCCTCCATCTAACAGCGGCGGTGCAGGCAAGACATCGCAAATGGGAAGACTTTATGAAAGGCGCCACACCAAACCCACGTTCATCGTCCTGCGAATGGCCGCCCCATCCGCATCGGGAGGGGAGGCACGTGCATGATGCGTGACGTGGAAAGGTGACGTCTCACGGAATGCTGTCATTGCGTTGGCCACCAACGATGAATCCTTTTAACGTTGGTTGTTTTTTTCGCCAACTTTTTGGTGCCATTTCTTAATTTGTTGCTTCATTTTTTTGTTTGGTTGGTAAGTAAAGTTTTAATTTGCTTGGTAGTGGCTGTATATAGGATTCTGTCCTTATATATAATTCATGTACAGCGTTATAGAATGCTATTGGCATATATGACACTCAATAAAATGTAAGTATTACTCAACTTTTGGGGAGTTTGTTTTCTTCATTTATTTAGTTCCTAATAGCACAGGTTTATATGAAATGTAACTCATTGGATTATATTTACGAGAGTTACCGTGCCCAGACTAGATATTAACTTGTCGTTACTGCATGAGGTGGCATTACTTCAGTCACTCCAATTTCTACATGTGGCCAACAACAGTGACCTATGTGATTACCATGTTAAACGATGAGTTTACGCTTCTTGGCCATATAAATAAATCAGTACGACTCACGTTTTGCTATCTTAGGTGGTACCGAGTCGGAAAGCGTTCATGAGCTACACTTGGGAACCGGGTTTAAACACAGGCGGCTGCCCGGATTCGAACCCAAGGTGGTCAGAGATGCCGGCCCAACACTCGGGAGCTCCGAGTCACCCCCAGCCGCGACTGTTGGTGTTTTAGCGTTGAGCTTCGTGTACTACCTTGTCAGGGGGTACGCAGTACAGCTCCGGCAGATACCGCAGCCCGTTCTTCCCTCGGACGAGGATGGCCTCCAAGGCTTCTCGATACTCCTCAACCTATAAGCACGACACTTGCATTAGTATGGCTCGAAATGTCCGTATAATTATACAATCTCTCTTTGTAACCATAGGCAGGGGGGTGGAGTGGTGGCAGCACACGGCGCAGTGAATCCCGCCACCTGAGTTAGATTCCTACCAGAGGTAATCCCAGAGACGGGTCATATCTGAACCGGTCCTGGTTCCCCATCTTCACCAATCCACACTGACCAGCGTGGTGATGTATTGTTTTTATCATTATTACTACACTTGTTTACCCACGAAAACCTCAATGAGTCTCAATACACTTTTTTTAGGAGGGTCCTGCCAGGTTTTCACAGGAGGCGGCGATGTTAGTATGTGTAATCCCAATTTAATAATTGGGATGTTTTGCCAATACCAGTTATATAACAAAAAATATTTTTTTTACTGTGGGATAAACCAGAGAAAACCCATGGGGAGAACAAACAAACAGTCCATAATATATGGTCAAATAACCCCCACGACCAACAAAAAGCTGTGAATATTTATACGTCTAGGATCTGGTAACCACTGAAGAATTCTGTGTGTCCGACTGGCTTGTAACATATTGAGGCAGCAGCCCAGGTGGTCATCGTCGTTATTTCACCTGCTCGTGGTTGTTCATGAAGACGCCGTCGATGATGAAGTATGTCCAGAACACTGGCCACTCGCACTCGATGTTCTCAAACAGCTTGAGCTCGGCAGGCTCGTAGTACAGACGGCTTGGGTCCTAGTGGGCAAGCCATCCGCCACACCAAGCAACTTGGCAATTAACAAACATCAATTCAGCTTGGCGGCAGACAGCAGTGCAACAAAATTAAATTGTTGTAGTGCTTCTATTCTTCTACCCACCCACCTTTACCAACGCAAACTGACCAGCGTGGTGAAGTATAATCAAATAACTCCCATGGCCCACATGGTGTGGGGAATCAGTAGATTTCGCAAGAGCTGCACATGTACACATTAGAGGCGGGTTCCACATTTAAAACATTTGGAGTTTTAGGATTTTTAAGGACAATTTTATATTTCTGGATTATGTAAACATTTAACACATCTTCTTAAATGGCACCACAAAATGCCATGTGACCACTTTTGGAGGGAAGAGAGCAAACGTGACGGGTGATGTCGCTTCACGTGACATCATATTTTTGTAGAATTCCAAAAGTATTTTTCTTTCCATATCATGCGAAATTTCGTGTCTAGACCCAAAGTTTTGTGTCTAGATTTTTACTATTGATCATAAAATCGAAAAAACATTGCAAGTGTATGTACACTTGGTAACCATCATTCCAGATTGGGACATTATCAAACAAACGGTATTCAGCAATCACAGCTTAAAAGTCACTATCACTCCGTATTTATCATTCATAACTCAGCAATTTCCATTCGTGATGCAACATTTATGATTCGTGCCTCATCGTCTTACCTATAAAAGGCATTTTACTGGTAGGAACGAAGTTGTAAACTGAGTGTACCAGCCTGCAATAGATTAATGTGTCCGTTCGTCCGTCCGTCCCCTTTCAATACAATCTCGTGCTGTTGGGGTGTAAAAATAAAATTGCGCAAAATTCCAATGTTCCTACCAGCCCACCCTGCAGGGACCTGTTTGTCTGTCTGTCTGCGGACAGAAATTTGAAAAGGATTTGGCTCACAAACCGTGGGGTTTACGTTTTAAAAAATTAGCCAGGTACCACACCATAAGCCCCGTAGGTGAGCCAGCGCTATTCCATTTCCCTACCGTTAACGTTAAAGTAGTTAAATTAACAATCTAGAGATATTTTTATTTATTTATTTACACTTGTCTACGAGCACCAAAGCACGCATTCATGACAAAGCTGACCGGGGGTTGCCCCTAGCAATGCACACGCGCGATCGGTGGAGGGGAATTATCATTCGGGTTAAAAATGCAATAAAAATACACAAAATGCTGAGGTAAATTCTTCACAGTGTGATGTCCTTTTCTCTCCCCCCCACCCCAATGTGTGCAGTGACTACTTTAGAGTCGCTAGATGCTACTACTATAGGCCGTAGATACTACTGCAGAGCGGCCGGGGGGGATCGTGGGTGGGGGGTGAGGGGTCGCAGCCCAGCCCCAGCCTGCCAAGGTGCCACCTCGGCCGGCTGGGCAATCTAGGCGAGGCCAGGGGCTCTGCACGGGACTAGGCCTCACCACGGCACTGTTAAGTACTATTTTCGTGCTTCTTTAGCTAAACTCACGTAAAAAGAAAATAATAATTTTTTAAAATTCAGCTAGTAAATATTATAAAATAATTATCTGCGTGTGTAGACAACTAATATATTAAAAAAAATTAAGTTAGGAAATACTAAAAGAATAAATGTGTGTCTAAGTCCATGTGTGCGTGTGAGCCGATGTGCGTGTATGCGTCGATGTGTGTACGTCCGTGTGTGTGTGTATAAGTCGATGTGTGTGTGTGCAAGTCAATTTGTGTGTGCGTGAGTCGATATGTGTGTCAGTCAATGTGTGTGTAAGTCCATGTGTTTGTGTGTGTAAGTTGATGTGTTTGTGTGCTCGTTGATGTGTGTGTGTACATCCGTGTGTGTGTATAAGTCGAAATGTGTGTGTGCAAGTCAATTTGTGTGTGCGTGAGTCGATATGTGTGTCAGTCAATGTGTGTGTGTTAGTCAATTTGTGACCGTGGTGTGTGTGTGTAGACAACTAATATTTATAAATTAAGTTAGTAAATTTTTAAATAATGTGTCTGCGTCGATGTGTGTGTGTAAGTCGATATGTGTGTGTGTGGGTCCATGTGAGTGTGTAAGTCAATTTCTGTGTGTGTGTGTAGGTCCATGTGTGGGTGAGTCGATGTGTGTGTGTACAAGTGAAAATTAAAAAAATTGTGTGTGCATGTAAATCGCTGTGTGTGAGTCGATGTATGTGTGTGTGTAAGTTCATGTATATGTATGAGTCGCTGTGTGTTTGTGTGGGTCGATGTGTGTTTTTACGTCAATATGTGCGTGTGTCTGAGTCTATGTGTGTGTGTCACTGTGTGTAACTCGATACAGTGAAGGAACAAAAGTAATTGGTAACACACTTCGCCGTGAAGGACTGAAATCCTGCAGCGCCCGCAAGGTCCCTCTGCTCAAGAAAGCACATATACATGCCCGTCTGAAGTTTGCCAATGAATATCTGAATGATTCAGAGGACAACTGGGTGAAAGTGTTGTGGTCAGATGGGACCAAAATGGAGCTCTTTGGCATCAACTCAACTCGCCGTGTTTGGAGGAGGAGGAATGCTGTCTATGACCCCAAGAACACCATCCCCACCGTCAAACATGGAGGTGGAAACATGCTTTGGGGGTGTTTTTCTGCTAAGGGGACAGGACAACTTCACCGCATCAAAGGGACGATGGACGGGGCCATATACCGTCAAATCTTGGGTGAAAACCTCCTTCCCTCAGCCAGGGCATTGAAAATGGGTCGTGGATGGGTATTCCAGCATGACAATGACCCAGAACACACGGCCAAGGCAACAAAGGAGTGGCTCAAGAAGAAGCACATTAAGGTCCTGGAGTGGCCTAGCCAGTCTCCAGGCCTTAATCCCATAGAAAATCTGTGGAGGGAGCTGAAGGTTCGAGTTGCCAAACGTCAGCCTCAAAACCTTAATGACCTGGAGAAGATCTGCAAAGAGGAGTGGGACAAAATCCCTCTTGAGATGTGTGCAAACCTGGTGGCCAACTACAACAAACGTCTGACCTCTGTGATTGCCAACAAGGGTTTTGCCACCAAGTACTAAGTCATCTTTTGCAGAGGGGTCAAATACGTATTTCCCTCATTAAAATGCAAATCAATTTATAACATTTTTTACATGCGTTTTTCTGGATTTTTTTGTTGTTATTCTGTCTCTCACTGTTCAAATAAACCTACCATTAAAATTATAGACTAATCATTTCTTTGTCAGTGGACAAACATACAAAATCAGCAGGGGATCAAATACTTTTTTCCCTCACTGTATGTCTGTAAGACGATGTGTGTGCGAGTCGATGTGCATCAGTCGATGTGTGTGTGTTAGTCAATGTGTGTGAGTTGTGTGTGTGTGTGATTCGATGCGTGTGTAGGTCAATGTGTGTGCGTGCGTAAGTCGATGTGTGCGTTAGTCGCCATGTGTGTGTGAGTTGCTGTGTGCATGGCTCCATGTGTGTGTGTGCAAGTCCATTTGTTTGTGTGTATGTAGGTCCAAGTGTGTGCGTAAGTCGACGTGCGTGTGTGTGCAAGTGGATTCATGTGTGTGTAAGTCGATGTGTGTGTTTTTGTCCATCTGTGATTGAGTCGATGTATGTGTGCGAGTCAATGTGTCTGTGCAAGTCCATTAGTGTGTAAGTCGATGTGTGTGAGTCTGATGTGTGTGTATGAGTCCATGTGTGTGTGTTTAAGTCCATATGTGTGTGTGTAAGTCAATGTGTGTGTGTGTAAGTCACTGTGCGTGTGTCAGTCTGTGTGTGTGTGTGCAATTCAATGTGTTTGGGTGTGTAGGTCGATGTGTTTTGGTGTGTTTGTGTAAGTCGATGTGTGTGTGTGTTTTTTCGCCCGGGCAACGCCGGGTACTTCCCACTAGTTTACCAATAAGGCACAATTATTACCCAAGGTCACTGCCAAGCCGGAGACGTATATTTTGTGAGCTCACCTCTCGCGGGGTTTTGTGTCCGTCTCTGAGGAAGCGACAACAACCATAGCGGCCCTGAAGGGAGTAACGGAGAGAAGAGGGCGGCATAAACCATTAATTTACACCAGTGGTTCTTAACCTTTACTGCAGCCTTGCACCCCTTTGGTTGTCAATCGTGAAAAAAAAATGTTAATACATGTAGGTTTGATTAAACAAAGTCGTTGTACTTACGTTCCCGCGCTTAATTTGTTTTTCGATGATTTACCTTCTAAAAAAATCTGGCATGTTTGGCACCAAGGATTCATACTCTTTGGTTTTATTCGGTAAAGTCAAGTAGGTAAAATAAAATAAAACAATAAAATCACGACGTTTCGGAGGCAACACAAGCTTCCAGCAGAAAATCTGTGACTATTCCACCTGAAGACTATTCCACCTGAAGACGGAAGCTTGTGTTGCCTCCGAAACGTCGTGATTTAATTGTTTTCTTGGATTTTATTTTATTTTACCTACGTGACTTTACCGAATAAAACCAAAGAGTATGTTTGGCACCCCCAGAAAAGACATCTTGCACCCCTAAGGGGTGTGTGCACCCCAGGTTAATAACCACTGCATTAGAGACCAGGGTCAATGTTATTTCATAACAATGATTCAATTATTAAATTATGATTCGATTATAATGCAGTAGAACCCCTTATAACAACGGTAATTGGCTACCTGAAAACCAGTCTTTAAGTGATTTGGTCATTCAGCAAATATAGGAAATACATGTTAAAGGCTTAATTCATTCCCATAGCATTGAAAGTTACCCTTTTTTACCCCAAAAACGTACTGTATAATATTTAAGCAATGGATATTAATACATAAAGATACCAACAACATTATAAACACATACTATGAAAAGAAACATGGTTAATCAATGCATTAAATAGTATTGACTGTACCAACAACAGCATGTCGTTAACAGGGAAATGGTCGGTGAGCAAACACATTGAGCTCTTTGGAGGTACTACACTACTATGCATGGCACTACTATACACGACACTACTATACACTACATTACTATACACTACACTACACATTGGGCTCTATGGAGGCCACGTCGTTAAGCGATTAGTCGTTAACAGGGGTGGCCGTTAAGAGGGGTTCTACTGTAAACTGTTAGCGAATACACCCCAATGTTCTGCTTGATTCCTTCTCTCTCTGCTTGCAAGTATCTCCTCAAACACGTTAGTCTTAAAGCAAGCCTTAAACTCTACTATAATTACCTTTCTCTGAATGGGTGAGTGGGTCGGTGAGTGGGTGGGTGGGTAAGTGGGTGTTTGAGCAAGTGGGGCGGAGGAGCAATGCTCACAACCACAAGCAGAGCACCGATAGGCTGAAACGTAGCAAGTTGGCACAGTGGAGAGCACAGGTGGTGCATCTGCCGTCATCTCAATCAATCAACCCATGCCGCCTGTGTCTGTGCCGTGAGTTCTTCCAAGTCACCCTTCGACACTTCACTTGGCTTCAAAGTGTACCGAGCATGGCACAACCGCCATGGTGACATCAGCACCACTTAGTGGCGAACGGCGGTTGTTGTTATTGTTGTTGTTGGGTGAGTGGGCGCGTGGCTGTGCGAGGTCGACTCAGCCTCCAATGAGTGCCTGGTGGGTTGTGTAAAACAACCCCACGAGGGAGACAAAGATCGTCAGGCTTGGTGCTGGCGAGCCACCATCTCACGCGCTGTGCCAGCCTTCAGAGGTACTCGCGAACAGCACTCGCCCCGACAGTCTGTTAAGGCTAAACGGGGGATCTTTGTGAGTGGGTAGGTGGATGTGCGAGTGAGTGGGTGAGAGGTTGGGTTGGTGAGCGAGTGGGTGCTTCCTTTCCCTCCTTCCCCTTCGCAGTCTTCGTAAGTAATTCTGTACTCAAAGTCATTTGTTACATTATAGGTGCATGAACAATTTTAGTTTGTTGTTATGGATACCACCCGAAATATAATAGGGATAAATTATGGAGAAAACAGTATTTAATTTCAAAGCTTCAAAATAGCATCAATACGTATTACATTTTTTGCACGTATGTATGTTGAACTTCTTTACCACCGTACATAGATAATCGTGCTTATCGAAGGTGTGAGAGATGGAAGTAGCCAGTCTGACGTTTCTCTCATTATTCAATGAAGCGGAAGATGGGGCTCATCATAAACCATTGGGTTGTCTATAAATGGATCACCGTGTATTTTTATTATCATTCAATATTACAGGTGTAGTGAGTCGCAGACATTGTTCGTTTTTAGAGGCAACACATTTATTTGTAACACGCAACACAAAGAGGTAACTGCCCCTTCACCAGATACAGCCTAGGGTGGTGACCACCCAGCTAACTACTCTATACAGAGGAGTTACTGCTACGAAAGGTTGGGCCTCACTCGGGTCCGCGACCACGTGTTTGCCTCGTAAGACGTAGAGCTTCCAGCTTGAGACGTAGAGCTTCAAGCTGGTGGACGTGGAGCTTCAGCTTGTAGAATGCAGCGACCCCGGTCCCTCTCAGGGACCCGCCTTATATCCCCCCACGGGTCGGGGCCGCTCCGCCCCTGGCTCCGCCCACCTTCTAGCTCCCCCCCCGATCACTCTCGAAAGCTCTCCCCGGACACGTGATCACCTCCTCGTCCCTCCCACCTGGGGGGCCTCTCTGTGAACACTCTAGATCACGTGTCTGCAGGGTCAACCAGAGTGCCATGGCCCGAGGCAACCATGTCCTTGGGCTGACACTCTCCCGCTCCCCCTCGTGGGAGACTGCACTGCACGCTATGTGTCGTGCCTGCGCTATCCCAGCGCTCACCAAGACCCGCTAGGGCTGGTACTACACCCACCACGGGTGTACGCGATGACAATGCATTGCACGCCACAGCCCTTTCTGGGCCAGAACAATAGTGACATCCCCGATGTCACTACACAGGCGGTCTCCACCACTTTACTACGATCCATATTCACAATGTTTATATAATGCCACCATAGATTGATTTAGGACAAAGAAACTTGATTTAGGAGGCATCTTCCGACATAACTCCGAAAACATTTCAACAGTTAGTCTGGTTTCTGATGTGACTTGACATGGAGTTTTTGTCATTCTCAAGTATTTTTTGTCGATTTTTACCTATTAAAGCCTTTTAAATATGGGTGATAAAAGGAAACTCACATTGGCAAATTTTTTCCTACTGTTTATAGGAAAATAGGTCCAATTTACGATGATCTGATTTACAATGGGGTTTGCAGGAATGCATTGTGTCGTAAAAGCAGGGAGCCGCCTGAATTGCATTGTGGGCAGCAGAGGGCAGTGCAACAAAACGAATTGTTGCACTGTAATTTCTAATTTTAGCAAACTCAAGTCCATTTTGTTACTGCAAAGGCCTCTTGCAGTATTAATTGAACTTCTTTTGCACCTTACGTAGCCAACCGTGCTTATCTGAGGTGCAGTAACAGAGCTAAGTGAGGTGTCTGTTATAAACGTCGCACACTAAAGGCATTTGAAAGACATTCGGTCCTCAATAAAGAGAGGTTCCCCACCCCTGGTTTACACACACACACAAAGATTCCCCGTATAGCTTTTTCAGGCTGTTGGGAGCATGTGCTCCGAGTGAGAACCGTGCCCGGCCACCTTTCTTTCCCTCGTGTTGGTGTTGTACCCACTGCACCAAGTACTTATTTAAGACCGTTTCAACCTATGGGAGGCCCAGCACCTGTCCGGATATTCGGCACTCTCACCCAGGCGAACACACCTGCAACTTGGAGGTGATCTCGTCCTTGGTGATCATCACAAGGTCTATGTCCTCGACGGCGAACGCGGGGTAGGAGATGATGGAAAGCAGCCCCGCATCAATTTCTTTGGACGTGGATGCCCGTGGCAGCATGGAGTGCAGGATCGACTGCTCCGTCACAACACCGCCCGCAACGAAACACACGGATTATTGAGCCAGCGAAGAGGAGAACTTGCTTCATACACTGACAGAATTCTGTGTGTGGCCAGATACAAATTGGTCACACACACACACACATATCCCATATAAGGCACACCCCCGACTTTTTCTTTAATATACTGAGTAAAGAAGTGCGTCTTATAATCCAGAGAATACAGTATTCAAACAAGCAGGCCAATGCTGCATAAACCTTGTGACTCACAGGGGAGGTTGCCACTGGGTATCCCCTAGGCTAGGCTGCCGTAGGGCAATGGCATGGTTGAGATGAGCTGTGATACAAGGTGCTTTGAGATGCTGAGATAATTAAGTGCCCTATAAATGTGGCAGAGTAGATTGGCAGTCAGTGAATTAATTGGGTATCTAGAGATTGATACCCCCAGATATTTGATGTACAGTCATACCTTGACAAATGCTGTTTTACCAAACTTGTGTTTAAGCTATACACGGCTTACTTATTGAGGTACGTTTTCCAAAACACAGAGATAATATCTTCTTGGTTCTTTCGGTAAAGTCATGTAGAATGGAAATAAAAATAATAAAAATATAAAACATGTTTTATCGAAAAGAAAGTGCGTCCTCATGTAAAATAATAAAATAAAAACAAAACTTTTTGATTTTCATTATTTTATTTCCATTCTACGTGACTTTACCGAAAGAACCAAGAAGATGAATCCCTGCAGTCACGAAAGCTTTAAACAGAGATAATATTTCGTATATACGAGGTTTGTTTGCATGTATGCACGTATGTTGAACTGTTTTCTCACCATACATAGCCAACCGTGCTAATCGGGGGTACGGTATGTGTTCACTAACAAATTGACATTTGATCAATTTGTAAGTGAACACACACCAGTGTCCAATCGATGAGCTGGAAGAGGCCTGCAGTTGTAAAAGATTAGGATTCCCATTCCTCAGAGGTGGCACAGTGGCTCAGAGGTTACAGCGTTGGTCTGGCACCACTTAGGTCCTGGGATTCAAAACAGGCAGCTGCCCGTGATTAATGTGGGTCCCTCAAGTGTGGCGAGCTGATGGTCTCAGTCCGGTCACCGATGTCTGCACTGAATATAAAACATCGAGTCAACCATAATGCGACAAACATTTGTCCTTGCAGCAGGGCAAAAGTGGGGGGGAATCTGGCCCTGGCGTGGATATGAGGTAATTTGTTCCATTAAATCTCCCTCAGCAGATTGTTATCTAGCACGGAGCAGATTCACTGATCTGCAATAGTTCCGAATAAATTATTCTCATGCCATGACGCTGTTAGCACATCGGGGATAAAACTGGGCCAAAAGTAAAAAAGAATATTAAGTAAGAGGCCCCTGCTCCTGATAACTGCTTAACATAAGATTCTACAGAAAAGTGTCAGTTCTGACATGTGACCTGAGGTCACAAGGGCACTTCAGAATAAATGCTGCCATCAAGGCTAGAGTTTGGAGACTCTTGCTCATTGGCGCTAAGGAGGTAAGGAAACAATTTTAATTAAAAATGAGACCATTCGCATGCTCAAGTGGAAAAAAAACATCTCATGAGTGAGTGATTATGAGCACAAAGACATAGAAAAGGCTTCTCCACCCAAACCAGATTTTTTTTGAGGAATGAAAAGTCAAGATTTTAGCAAAAACATAAAGAAGAAAAGAAACAGAGTTATCAGTAAGTTAAAAACGTATGTAACGATTTCTACATATAAAATATTTACCTAAGCTCACATTCCCATGCGTCCAACACAAAGTTGTTGTTTTTTTAACATCCATTCCCTCCTTCCACCACACCACCTTACCAAACATTCCTGCCTAGTTGGAGGTTGGTTCACCATTGTGTAACCTCACGTGATACAACACTGGGTCCCCCCTGGGCAGAGGGACAGAGGCACAGAAAGGAATAAGGCTACGGTGGTTTCTGCGGACACAGCTGAGCGCAGTCTGGCACCATATTGGCATGGGCCAAGGTCCGGCATGCGGTGAACTAGCCATGCAAACGCGGGGGTAGGTTTATGCAATTTCTCCACTGGCTTTGTGAGTGCTATTCTCCCCCATTCCTGTGCCGAGTGGCTGTTAACAATTGCGCACAAAAAAAATACTGGCAAAAAGGTCCCATTTTGTAGCTGCTCACCCCAAGCTATAAATGCTCTGATAGTGCATTGTCTTTTCACTGTTCGCCTTTTGCCGTTCTCTGGCCTGACACTGGTGAGACTACATCCTAAAGAAGGTTGTCTCCAGTGTAGATCCATCAGTTTAAGAGATAATGCATCTATTATCAGAGCACGTTTGTTTACATGTTCACCACAAGTACGTGTGGTTAATGTCGACATGCTTACTTGCAAAAAGGTTTCTATTTGGTGTTTGAACATCTTCACACATGTTTAATTTCCAGAAAGAATAAAACCTATTCTTATTTTTTCATAACTATGCACTATTTTTTAAAATGCTATTCTTTTAAATGTTTTGAACATTTTTGTAATTTTGTATTAAAACTAGCATGCCCGGGTGGCGAAGCGCTACAAGTGCATTTCTGGTGGCCGTAGGAGTAGAAAGCATTGGAAAAACAACTACTGAATGTTGATCCTCATATACTGAGACTTTACAAATGAAAGTCTCATGATGATGGGAAGTTCTCATCCTTATTATATAAACAAGACCATTACAAAATTCACTCAAGACTGAAAAGGTTCTAAAATTCCAAACCACTTGTTCGAGCATAGGGACAACCTTGTCTTTGCATGTTCTACATGCAAAAAAGAACTAAATATAAAAGATTGAAAAGCGCAACCTTAACGCATGATGTGAAAGAAAACTCAGCATATTCATCAATGACACTGCCTTGAAAAGAAAAATGGGAAAAAATATATAATAGGTGACATTCCGGAAATGGCCATTCTCAATTTGATATACCAATAGGATCTATAGCTGGTACAGCAATAAACAAAACCCGAGTTTTCAAGGACCTTTTGCAAGGCGATTTTATAAAAGAACGGTGCCACCAAGCACAGGGTTTCAGGAGAAAACAATCTGTCGCTTGTCCAACATCACAACTAATTCAAATCGGACAAGACCGAGACAGAGATGAATTCACTGTACTCGTATCTCCTGACCGCACGCTTGCCAAGTGACGTTACATTCGGTAACGTGCCACACTTTTCTAAGAAGCCACCCTTCCTCCGGTCGACATTTATTTTTGGCGCAAGTTATTCCTGGTGGTGGTATTGACGTGACCCAGACGAATGCCTCGAGGCCCAGGAGCATCGTCATGTACCCTGCCTAATGGACAACCACATTGGCAGCGCACTTAAACTTCTCCTCCTTCCAAGCCAGAAGTCCCAAAACTGCATCGGATCGGCTGCTCAGATTTCTCCTCTGCACGTACTCCTATTCGGCGCTGCCCTCATATCTCATTCCATTGCATCCTTCCAAGTCAAACACTGCCTCCCTCTGTTCCCCCTGTCATATACAGGTGGCATCTCCTTAGGCATCGAATTCCATAATATTTGTGTCTTCTCAAAAGCGGACTTCAACCGCTCTCATATTTTTTGGTCCTTATATATCCCTGTCAAGCTGTATAAGGTCACGTGCTTCTATGCATATCTTGTGCTCTATATGCCTAATGGCTAGGCATATTTGTTAATAAAAATCGATTCTCACATTCACAATACAAAGATAAAATTGTCCTTTTCCATAAAATACATTATTTATTATCTTTGTAAATTATATGCATAAGATATGTGAAAACTACATACTGGCCAAAAGTGAACCAAACGAGATGGTAAAACGAATACAAATGAGGGAGAAAAAGAGACAAAAAATATAAATTCCTGAATTTAATCACGATCCTGAATCTGTACAATTCATTGAATACCTACCCAGAATTGTAAACAATAATAAACTTTAATTTACCAATAGAAGCCTCAAGGAGTTGTAAAACTCCTGTCAGAGGCATTGAGCTGCTGCAGGCTCGGAGAGAGGCAGGAGAGGACAATGCAGCTAATCGATTGTTGTGCTGTATTTATATGCTTTCACCAACCCACACTGACCATCGTGGCAAAGTATAGTAATATAACCCCCGTAACCGACACGATAAGGGGGAGGCCCTCATCCAGCAGTGGATTAAAAAAGAGCTGCATATGAACAATGTTCGGAATCGCTCCGCTCCTTCCAATTCAGGGTCACGATTAGGGGTACATGAAGATATCATTATTTATTTACAGAGAGGCAAATATAGCAACCTCCAGTGGTTTTAGAGGTCACAAGGTATATGAATACAAAATAATTCAACCTTACACATGCAATGTGATGCATGTAAAATGTGAGCTTCATCATTAAAATAAATTGATTAATAGCTATATGACAACACATCTATTAATTTACATTCATGCAATATTTAAAAAGCTGATAATGTACTTAGCTTAATGCTAAGGTTGTAAAAAATTACCAAGCAGCTGCAGTAGTAATATAACTCAACTCCGAGTAAGATACCTTTAGCAGTTATTCCACTCATCAAAAGCTAATATAAGCAGAACCCCGTTTTGTGCCTCCACTATTTGATATCCAAATAGGCTGTCCCATAAGCAGTCAGGCTCATGAAGCAAATGCTGATGGATTACAAATGTATGTTGAACTTATTTTGCACTGTACGTAGCCAACCATGTTAACCGGAGGTGAAGGATAAAGGCAACAAACTAAACACAAAAAGCAGTTCTAAAGGATTAGCAGTTATTGGCCAACGAGCACTCCATATAAAATATGGGACAACGTTCAAAGTGTGTAGAGACACAGAAGCGAACTGATCAAAAGGGCACTCGCTCATCAGCTTTCTCACACAGCCATCTGGCGCTTTACAAGTTCTGGACACGAAAGCGTTGACAGACGCGAAGAAAAATCATTCCGCTTGTTTAGGGCCTTTACCTGGCAGTGCTGGACTTCGTCAGGAAGCACATGGATGATGGACTTGGGGCCCCCATGTGCTCCAAACAGATCCAACTCGTCAATGGCCTCCAGCGCAGCCTGCGAGAGAAAGAGGGCAGAGTTGGGCTGCTTCGAAACACTAAGCTGACGTTTAATCCACGAGACCGGAGTGCAATACTAATGAGATGACGGAGGAAAAAAGTGTGGCTTTTGTGTCTTTGCTCATGAAATATGGTGTCACTGACTGAAAGCATCCATTAACAATGCAGAGTCCAAACAATTGGATTATGATAGTGCATAGCTGATGCTTATATTTAGTGAAACATTTGTTTGCATCGTCGTGGTCATAAATCTTAAAGAACAATATAGTAAATTTTGATGTAAAGCTTTCGTGACTGCAGTAATTCATATTCTTAGTTTTTTCGGTAAAGTCACGTTTGTTGTTTCTCTTCAACGTGACTTTACCGAAAAAACTAAGAATAACAATATAGTACATTTAGTATTTTTGCCTTATACACAATAGCTACGGTGAAGTAACTATGTTTCACAGATGGGTGTAGTCTGCTCGCAGGGGCGATACTGTTATGCAGTTTTACAAAATGCCCCATTTGGACCATGACGCCGGCACAAATGGCCTTTAACCAACAAGGTCATGGGATATTTCCACATCCACTGTGAAGCATTTGGCACATAGTAAATATTGTTAATACACCTATAGCATGAACCAGGGAGGGAGGGACGGGGGGGAGCTACTGGGCTCCAATCACAAACCTCTGCGAAAATCGACAAACGCACTACTGCTCGACCATGTCACCGCCCAATGCCCCTGTGAAATGTGTGCAAGTCAATAAAACGGTGTCAGGCTAGAGAACGTTAAAACCAAGTAGTTGAACGTTTTGTTGCACAAACCTTGGCAGTGCCAATGGAGCTGGCATTGAGCTCAGGGATGCCTTGATTGGTTTTGTCACCTCTCTCCCACATCCCATAATCCTTAAGAAGGAGAAGTGCAGCATTAGTGCATCAACACCACTGAGAATTCCTCTTCTTGCAAAGCCACTGAGCACCACATGAAGTATAAAGTGTAGATTATATCTGAACCAATGACCTTACAGGAGCAATATGGTAAAAAAGAGATTAAGAAGTATGAATTCTATAATCATAACAGCCATTACAGTAGACACTAGTACTTGATTTGTACATTCAGCATCATCCTTAAAGTAATCAATAAATTAGGACATTCATTTTTAGAAGCGTGTCTTCCTACTGCGTGACGCTGCTCTTATGGCTCCCTTTCAAATTCTTGAAGCTTGCGGTTTTAAGTTTGAGGTTTAGAATACATCTGTCATATGTTGCCAGACAGCAGTCCTGATTGACTGTTCATGGTCACGTGAAGAAATTCCTAAAATCCTTCAACGAACACTATGAAATGCACACGTACAGTCCATTCGATGGGGGGGGGGGGGCGTTCTAAACGCAGCATGAATAGCAGGTTTTTTTTTTACCATGCTTCACCACCGCTGGTCCATGTGAGTATTGAAGGCAAGGAGCATAGACACAGTGGCATAGAAGTGCAGTATGGTAAGTCCTTGCTTAACGTGTGTTAACACAACGCATTTTTGTAACAATATGGTTCTTATATTTGGGAACACTTTTCGCACAAGGTGGAGTACGCCAATTAAAGAGCGGTTTCTGAGCGGTCGACGTCAAACTACTTTCTTGTGCTGTGTGGTTGAGCGGTAAGGTGACACAGCACACGGAATGATACAGTTTATGCAGCGTACCCTCATCTCAGTTAATTGGCCCGCCATGTGATGACTACATGCCTATTTCATCTCACAAATGTGATTGAGTACAGTCATTCTTCGCTTAACGCGGCACTCTTCAGGAACGCATCTACCGCATTAAACGGAGAGATTGCTGTACAACAATTAATTTTCCCGCAATTGCCCTCGGCTGCCCACCTTGTACTTTCTGCTGTATCCATGTGCTTTAGATATATCGAGTTGGCTTCCAATTTGGACTGGAGCCCGAATTCTCAGGGACGATTATGTTTATTGGGTTGGCATGAATTCCCTATGTCAGAATATGTAATGGACAGTCAGAACGTATATAATTAGACATCACCGGTACTGACTTCCCTAACTCACGTGATGACTCATATAAATTTGGAAACATATGGAAATGCCACTTCTTTTTTAACCAACTTGATTTATTCATGAATTCAAGTTCTGCGAGAAAAGAGGCCAAAATCGAGTTGACTCAGCTGCTCAAGGAATTGATGTATATTGTTGTATTCAATCTTAAGCTTTTAAAAGATGACTGCATAAGACACTCACCGCCACTTTGTATGCTGCCTCAATGTAAAACACCAGGTTCTGTATGAAGGCCACTTCATCCAGTGTGAAAATAATTCTCAGTCCTGCAAAGCACGAACACAACAAACGGAGAATTACGAGAATTTAGACTGCAGTATTAATCATCGGTCAGTATTTGACGAGTACATTTCATAGGCTTTAGCTATTGAGTACATAGCCAAAAAAGTCAAAAAGTTAAAGCAGTTGTTTTTGTCCTGATGTATATTTGCTTCATTGCTGTATTATTATTTTTTTGCCTTTGTCATTTTGGTGACCTGGGTCACTCTTGCAATTATACTATGCTGGTCTCTTGAGTTCTCACCCAGTTGAACAGAATAAACTGAATTTTATGTATGTTGAACTTCTTTCACACCATGCATAGCCAATTGTGCTAATCGGAGGTGCGAAAAAAAATTCTACTTTAAAGAGGTTTGTAGCCAAATAAACGAACACAAACTCCCAAGGCTAGCTGGAATGTTCAACCTGTGATGGTGATAGAATTCATAATTACCAACTGCCTCTATTTTTTAGCCATGGTTTTTACAACTTGGCAGAAAGTACATAATTCAAGGTCAAGTGATATTAACAGAAGCCCAGGCTGAGCTCAGACTGCAGTTACCACTGGTGACATAAGTGGTTAAGAACTAAACATGGCAATGGGCCAATACCAGCAATACAGGGATGCAATACCAATCTAACAACGTGATGTACAGCTCTATCAATCCACTGCTGGATTAAGGCCTTCACCAACCCGCACATTAGTGCGGGTTGGTGAAGGGGGTGCCCTGGTTCGGATATCACTCACCAGTGATGTTAGTAGTGCCTGGGAATCAAACTCCGGTCCCTGGGTTCACAGCAATGCGCGAACCACTGTGCCATCACTCCACCCTGATGTTGCATGGCTATCTGGTAATTTTGCAATCAGGCATCGCAATTGTCTGTAACACCCAGTACTCACGCATGTACATGCACACAATGAAAAATAAAGTACTATTTGTGAGCACCTATTAAGGCTGGCACATCACACCAGAAGTGTATATGTATACACACACTTCACAAGGTACTCATTTAAGGCTAAGTTGACCTAGGCGTGACGAAGGACCAGATCAGATATTCACCAATGATGTTACCTCGAGGCTGGGAATCAAGCGTAGATCGCCAGATTCCTAGCACAGGTGCGTTAAGCACTACGCCAGCTCTCCCCACACGCAGACACACACAAGCAGGAAGGGTTCCATGCGACATCCCTTCCATTGAAACAGCATGTCCAACACTCTTATCGGGGTGCCAGCGGCAAGATGTTAACTACCTCGCCTGGTATACACGTCGTGGGTTCAATCCTGACCCTGGCACCTGTATATTTAGAATTTGCTTGTTCTCCCCGTGGTCATGTGCATTTTAGAGTATTGGCTTTCTAAAATTTCCACGTGATAAGCCACTTCGTTGAGCAATCATTTGTGACCAGGTCCCTTCTTAAAAAAGAGCTACGTAACTCAGTGGGCCTAACCTGGTAAGATAAAAAAAATAGTAAAAAAATAGTAAAAAAATAGTTTTTAGTTTTTATAAATATGGCACATGACAGTGTAAACCCAACGCCGTCCCGGACCTGAAGCAGTCATCTGAGCGAGGATGAGTAGGTAGAGGGAGGTGGCGTCCACTTGCAGGTGACCCCACTGGTCATCCCCAACCACCGTGCTGCACGTGGCCGTGTTGTACTTGGCATGCAGGCAGTCCGTGGCGCTCTGGGTCACCTTGAACTTCTCCACCTTGTCCACCTGTCAAATGAAGAGTGAGTAAAATCCATGTTCTCAGTTTACTTGCGTGGCAACTGTGCGGCAGCTACGGGATGCGGAAGAGGGTAGACAGCGTTGGTGAGGTGTAGGTGGTGATATCAGCGGCTTTGGCTGTGATGACATTTTGATCTTGACCTTAGAGCTTACTCAAAAGCTGGAATGTGTGCAGCATTGCTGTCACGGTTCACACGTGCCCTATTTATAGAAGGCTGTCCAGAGGGAAAACATTCGAAGTATAGGTGTGGTGTCAAGGTCAGTTTTACGCGGTAACACCGTGGGCTGTGCTGTTGAGGGCACCATATTTCTCCGTCATGCTTTAGTTTCTGCTAGATCCTACAGCTATGGGCTGGGGAACCCATGGCTCCTGAACCGGATATGGCCCGCAGTTTCATATTACACATTCATGTCGAAACCAAAGAAACCAATAAATTCAAATAATAGAATTCTATCGCATAAATAATCCTACTTTATCTGGATGTTTATTTCAGAATTTCACAGAGCCTACCAGTAGTCAATAAAATAATACATCTCGATTGGTTCTCACCTGGTTGAATGAAGGACACACCACTCAGAATGGAAATTATGAGAAGATAAATCGCAGGCTTACCTGTCTCATCATGCACTGTAGCAGCCCTCGCATAAGCTTCACCACGCTCTGCCAAACGCATAAACAGACAATGCACACTTGTCAGTCTATGCAAACAAAACATGAAGTACTGACTGGATACACTTTCAGTACAGTAACACCTCGCGGAATGCGGGCGGTTACGTTTCTGGAAAATTCCGCGTTGGCCAAAACCGTGTTCGACATATAATCAACCTTACGGGGAAAAATAGGTTTGTGTTCCTGGGTTGGAAATGATCACCCCTCCCTCTTTTTTTTATTATTTCTACACAATGTCCCCCCTTGTTATTGTAATCAAGGATGCTGAGTCACCCTCTTTCTTGTGTGTATGTATGTGTGTGCACTCTTTATTTTTCAAATTTGACCTCATGACAAATGCCCCGTCTCCATTACCCTTCACGCACCAGGCAATCACGGCCAACACTCGTCCCCTAACACTGAGTTGCCAGCCGAATGCTTGCCCCTAACACCGAATCTCCGAACCGTACTCCCCATTCATCCATATCTTCATGAACCAACGCCCAAGTTTGGTGTAATGGGTGTGGTCTGTCTGGGTATGTCACGGTCACTTGAACGTTAATGATACGCCATCAAGGCGTCCATATGACTGACGTCCTCAACGAGTGGATGGCTAAAAGCCTGCGGCAATGTGTGAATATTTACGTTGTGCATGAGTATGTGGAGTGTGTTACAATGTCATACAAAAAACACATCTTTGGTAAATAAATAGTTCTCACATTCGATTTAATTCACACCACAGTACCTTCCAATGGATGCATAATTCTCACCTCTCGCAAGCCTATCTAGCAACTGAACTTTTTGCACTAAAGTTCTGACTTTTCTATGTTTTCTCACTCAAATCACCACCGCTCAACTTACGCTTAGGGGCCATGATTAAAAAGTGAGCAAGCATGAGTACTGGGGAGGGAAGATGGTGACGAGATATTCATCCGCAGAATCTACAAGCACAGTTAGCTACATATGGTGCAAAAGAGGTTCAACATACATACATACAAGCGAACCGAGCACTACATTTCTACGCGGACATTCTTAGCAGGGTCAAACTGCGTATAGTCCAAATATCACCCCGTGTTCTGGAAAATGTACGTCAATAAGTTAACCATGTAAAGCTAAAACACACGTTCGATAAAACAGCGTTGGGCAAGGTATGACTTATATGACCAAGATAAAGTATTGACATAAAGCTTTCGTGACTGCAGGAATTCATCTACCTACGTGGCTTTACCGAAAGACCCAAAGAATAAGATAAAGTATATTAATTTGTTTGGATTACACAACAGAATTCAGATAATTACAATTATATCCAGGGATACTCTGGGATCATAGAATCCACGGGTATGAGTAGTTACATACTTATTTACAAGATATCTAAAGAAGACCTAACTTTTTTTACGAAATAATTTATTGGGGTGGTGTCATTACAAATCCGAATCCAAATATTTATTTATACTGGAGGAATCCGATGAGCTATTAAGCTCTTTTTCACAGATGTCCAGTAAGGGCGGTTAAGAACATTACATCTTGGATCCTCAAAATTTATCCAAACCAACGTATTTCAAGGTTGCGGACCCCCCTCTCCCTAAAGGAGATATATATCAGTATAAATTAATCACTGAACTGAAATACTTGGCCTGGTTTCATACCTTATATCTATCTTCCACGACACAAAATATAACCAAAATCTAATTATTGATGTTGAAATCTCCCTGGACGTTGGTTGCATTGATGTGGAATGAACCAGCAAGCAAGACATAAGCGAAACATTAACAAGGCTAGAAGTACAAGGCAAAAACAGAATACGTGCAATATAAAGCATGAATTAAGTTTACTTCAAACTAGATTTTGGAATTATTAAGATGTGAAAAACATAATTATGATTTAATCTATTAAATGGTGACATTCAAAACATAAAAAACTGTTATATTCATAATTTCTAAGGAGGAAATCTGAGAGCTCTTTCAGCACTGAGTCAGTACAGATTTTAATGTGACGCACATGGCACGATACGGTTTCACCTTTGGGTAGGATATCCTAAACATAGCAACAGCATTTGGAACAGCATTGAATCATCACGGAATTTCTTAAACTGCGATGGCTTGGCCCACCACCTCCATCTCAGGTCGTCATAACACCGGCCGCTCGAAGGCTCACCTGCTCCAGCTCATAGGCCTTGGCCTTGTCCTCATCTCGGTCGGCGTTCTTGCGGTACGCCATACCGAGCCCCCACACTGCCAGGATGCAGTACACATTGTCTCGCACCCACGCATCCGGCTGCTCTGGGCTGGCGGGCAACAGCCCTGTGACAGCGTTCTGTCATGGAGAAAACGTCAACAGAGTTAACCGGGAACTCTCTACAAAATGCAACCCCTCTCTTCAAGGAGCCCGAGAACAAAAGCACATGTCACAGGACACGACACACTGTTGACCACCATCTTGGAAAATACCCAGCCTGCTTTGCGCAGCTATGACATTGCTTCACAAAAGATTCGCCAGATCTTGCCACTTCCCAAACAAACTTCTAACATATTCTTGGTTCATATTCTTGGTTCTTTCGGTAAAGTCACGTTGAAGAGAAAAAATAAAATAATAAAATATATAAAACAATAAATTCTCACGACGTTTCGACTGCAACACAAGCAGTCATCATCAGGTGTGAAAACCAACGGCAAGAAAATCATCATCAGGTGTGAAAACAACAAGAAAATGTTTTTGTTGTGGTTTTCACACCTGATGATGACTGCTTGTGTTGCAGTCGAAACGTCGTGAGAATGTTATTGTTTTATATTTTTATTATTTTATTGTTTCCCTTCTACGTAACTTTACCGAAAGAACCAAGAATATGAATCCCTGCAGTCACGAAAGCTTTAAATCAAAACTTCTAACAATCTGTTATTATCACAGTATGGAGTACAACACCTGCTTTGAAAATGCAATATATATTTCATATCTTCACAATTGCCTGCCTCATGCATATAAACTAAAAACAAAAGGGCCTCTACAAATACCACATTACCACTTCCTACTTGCACCTGCGATAAAAGCGCAAAATCAAATACTTACAAACACCGGCACTTCCAAACCAGATCCGTTAAATGTTTTTTTTTAATATCAACTTAAAACGCGAACTTTCGCACTTGCAAACTGAACCGGGGAACTATTTTGTTCAGCAGAGCGATTCTCCGCAAGATGTAATGAGTTGGCCTCACACTGGGAGTGGGTTTTGTGTATTGTGTGTGCACGTGCACATGTGTGCGTGTAAAAGGGTGTGTGTGAGAAAGTTATTGTGGGAGTGTGTGTGAAAGTGATTGTGTAGCCACCCACCCCCTTGAGTGCTGTGCTCCAAAAGTCTACTAAGGCTAAAGGAGGGATCTTTGTGTGCATGCCCGAGTTCCCCTGTGTATGTAATTGTGGCGACTCGTTACGCCCCTTCTGACAAGCAAGCCACCATGGTAAGTGAAAATAAGATATTTTTTGTGCTACTTTATTTGATGTTTTAGTCACTGTACAATATTTATTACAGTATAACATGCAAATGTACAATATTTCTTCTTATTTATGAGTTTAACAATGCTTCCCTTTTTTGTTGAACCGTAACAGATTCTATAACACTGACCATATGTGCATTTGAATACTGTTGTCACTGATAATTATTAGGATCCCACGTTGGCTTGAAGCCACACAACACATGCATAGCTCCTTGCGAGCTTCCTAATTCTTAAATTGGGTGGCGGCAAACCTGTTGTCACCGAATATTTCTTCCCTAACCTCATCCAAATGTTCCTTAAATTCAAGTACGTGTGTGCTTGTTTGGCCGATTCACTAAAATTGCCAAACACCTTCTGTGGAATGCTCAGTGTCCTTATCCATCCAGAGGTATCACAACATTATAATTTAATATCCAACAGTATTTGTCCTTTTGATTTAAAGCTTACGTGACTGCAGGGATTCATATTCTTGGTTATTTCGGTAAAGTCACGTAGAAGGGAAACAATAAAATAATACAAATATAAAACAATAAAATTCTCACGACGTTTCGACTGCAACACAAGCAATCATCATCAGGTGTGAAAACCACAGCAAGAAAATTTGAAAAAAGTGGCGTTTTTTTTACATTAGCGCCACAGAGAGCGATTTGGCAGTTATTCAAATGGACGAATCCATCTATGTTCGGAAAAGAGGAGGGGGGAGACGAAAATAATGGATGTGGTCTGAAAGCCACCGTAAGCGTGAACAATCAATTAAGACCCGAAATGGTTTATCAAATCCTTCCAGTGATTGCTAAGCCAGAATCCATCTTCTCGGTCGCAATTGTCTCTGCGTTTGTATATGCGGATAGCGTCATGAACGAATCTCTCATGATAGCCAGATGGCTTGCAGAACCTCTGTCTTGGAGAAGTCAATGTCATGTGAGCCTACTGAATTATAACAGTGATCTGCCACGGCCGAGGTGTTGGTCCTACCGTGTTTTAGGTCTGCTTTGTGTTCACGGATGCGGTCCGAGACATGTCGTTTGGTTTTTCCAATGTAACTACTACCACAGAGGCAACTTAGTTTGTAGACGCCAGGGTACTGTATGTCCGGAATCACATCTTTTACAGAGGGAACCAGATCACGGATTTTATGTAATGTGTTGAATCGGACCTGGATCTTGTGTTAATTCAAGATTTTGGAGATCTTTTTTGTGATCCCCACAATTTAGGGTAAAGTGATGGTTTTCAATGGCTCCTCAAGAGGGTCCTACTTCATGGTTGGAGTGATAGCTTTGCAGATTGTGTAGTCGGAGTAACCATTAGCCTTAAGAGCTTGGTGTACGTGCTTGAGTTCACTGGCTATGTGTTCCTGGTCGGATATGCATTGGGCTCTATGGTGCAGAATCTTGATGAGGGAACTCTACTGGGATAGATGGTGGTAGGATTCCGGTTTCAGGTAAGCATCCGTATGGGTAGCTTTCCTGTAGACAGAGTGGCTCATTGAACCATCAGGTCTCTTTTTTATTAGAACATCCAAAAAAGGTAGCTTGCCATCTTTTTCGACTTCCTTGGTAAATCTGATGGCTGGGTGTATGGAATTGATGTGGTTGAGGAATTGGTCTAGAGCAGGCCGGCCAAGGGCCAGATGCCAAAAGTGTCATCCACGTACCTCTTCCATAAGATTGGGCACAGAGTGGCAGTCTGGATGGCATCAGTCTCAAATTTCTCCATGAAAATGTTGGCTACAACTGGAGATAGGGGAGAGTCCATTGGGGTGCCCTCTGTTTGTAGAAAGTTCCATTCCGAGTGAAGTATGTATTGGTTAAGCAGTGTCTCACCAGGGGGGGTACCTCAGTGTTGTGGCAACTTTTCCGTGCAGATTCAATTTTCTGAACCTGATCAATATATTGAAGCTATTTCAAAACAAAACGACTGCTTATAGAAATTATACCTGATTTTGAATACATGTGAGTGTCTAAATGGTCTAAGAGTGGAAGAAAGTCCACTTTGATGGCTTGATCATAAAACTCATCGACATAAATAACCGGTGTTGACCTCCCTGCAATGTTGGTGGCGATGATTTTATCTTGAGCAAAACTTGACCTCAAAACTTGACTTTCAAAATCCTACTTCTGTACACCAGCAATTGACATGCCAAATGTGACCATCTGTGTATATTTAACTACACAAGCACTAACTGTATAAACGAATGCACAAATAGCAACAGCCGCTATTCACCACTAAATGGTAATGACGTCACCACGACGCTTGCGCCAAGCTAGGTGCACTTAAAACACACATGCAAACACACGTAATGCTGAGATCAAAGCACCCCTCCACCCCCCCGAATACAACCACAGATAGATGAAGGGGGAAAAAAACCTCGGGGCTTTCTGTGTGAGCAACACGACGACCAGATGCCTGCGTCTCCCAGTGTTGATGTGTGCATACCCCACCAGGTTCTCGTTACACGCTTTTTTATTATTTAACTCTGTTCTGTTGTTGTTGTCGTATCCTCAAATCTTGTAACTCAATTTTAACCCACTTCCCAATGTGGTATCGACTGCAAACTTGGTATACTTATGTCATACTGATGACAATACTATATTATATCATTAAAAAATATTTTCAAACATTATTTTTTATATGTTATGTTTCGCCTTGGGTCTAATTGTCCACGCTCAACTGACGTTGGCTGTAAATGACCACGGTCCCTTACGTTGTGGAGTTCTGCCATTACTCGTACGGTACATTTCATTAAAGCGTGTTTTTAAAAAAAGTATTTTTAAATATTACGTATTTTAGTAAGCTGAACAATAGGGAGCCAGAGCAGGATCAAATACAGTACCACTTTGCACGAGTGTTACCTGTGGAACCCGGGTTAACCAGTGTGCCAATGTTTAATGTTGGATTGACGAAAGTAACACATTCTAAGATGTGGATTTATTGTGTACTAGCTGTACTACCCGGCTTCGCCCGGGACTTGGATTCACCACACCCGGCCGCCTTTGTCTCCCCAGTGGCGATATTCACACACACCAGTTACTCGTTTGAGGCTGAGTCGACCTAGGGGAGGCCCAGGACCGTTTGAAATAATCGTCACCGGTGGTGGCCGTGAGCGGGCATCGAACTCGGGTCGCCGGGTTCGTAGCGCAGCGCGCTAACCACTACACCACAATGCGTTACGCTTCCATGTGCGCGGGTCACGTGACAGATGTGACGTCACAGCTCACTTGCCGTGCAAAATAAATGCATTATTGAGCTCCCCCCCCCCATAAAAAGTAGTGTATTTTTTTATAATTTGTGCATGGTGTACAATCTGGAAAGTACCCACATGGAAAATTTCAAGTTTGTTGCATGTCGGGGAGTACGCTAAACATTTTGAACAGACACACATAATCACAAGTTTCCCGTTTATATATAGATATAAAATGTAATCGAATCTTGCGGTAATGGTGCAGCCCTGCAAATGCGTGCCACTTCAGAGGACACCTCTATCTCGAGCAGGGGTCCGGGCAAACTTCGGCTCCGGAGCCGCGTGCGGCTCTTTTGGCTTCCCCCTTGCAGCTCTTTGGCTGCCCCCTTGCGGGCAGACATTCGAAAGAAAACCTTTAAATCTTAAACATAATTTAGCGTAAAGATAATTGATTAGATATGGCACGGAATGGGTCACTGTGGAATTTCTTTGTGAAAACAACACGTACAGTCATATTCTATTGTTAAAGAATAATTAAGGGGGGGGGGGGGAACTAACTAGAGGCAATTTATTCCATCACCTATTTTAAGTCAGAATTTGTTTGTCATCTGCCGTATACCTACCTGCCGTGCGTGTGTACAAGATAGCTCTGCGTCTGATGCTGCTCTCGAACTATTTTGGTCAAAGACGTGGCTCTCCTTCCTCTTCTTTTAAAGGTTGCCGGCCCCTGACCCATAGGGTATTAGATCCTTCCACGCTGGTCAGACGTCTTGGAAGAGTCGCAAGCGACGGTGTTGCGTTTTTTTTTATCCTGGGCGGACAGGGGCAGAATTCCATCAACTTAACCTGGGCCAATTCACAATGGTTGACGGCGGCCTCTGGCCAAATCTGCTGGAATGTGCCCAAGTTCGGCGGCTCGCCAAATATTTGACCCTGGATATTGCTTGAGAATGGGCGACAACCGTGTATTGTAAAACTAGGTGATGTCGGCTGATGACGGGTCTTGTTGTTGGGCAGCAGAGCGGAGAACAGCTAAGTGTTGTTGTACTGTACTAAGCTCACACGTCTATGATCCACCGCCTTCACCAACCCCGCGCCAAGCTGCGTGGTAAAATAACCACCGACGTCTTGCACGGCGTGGGTAGGGGGGTAGGGGATGGGGGGGTCCTCATCTAGCAGTGGATTCATTAAAAAGTCTGCACATATGCGGTTAGTGGAGACAACCACAGGCCTAAGTTACAGTAAACCAAGCTAATAAAAAACCATAACACGCGGATAATCACAGAAAAGCGGCAATTACCTGGTGACACAAGATCGTCTGCTGCACGAGACGCGCATATCCGTCCAGGCGGACCCCAGAGTTGCTCCGGCTCCTCATGGTCAAGCCAGGCACCTCCTCGACTGCCGAGCCACGGGGGGGGGGGGGGGGGGGGGTAAGAGACGGCGGAGTTGGGGCGAAAGGGCGCGCCGGAGGCCGCCGGGGGCAGCTAGGCGAGCACGGGGATGCGATTGGGGCCTACGATATTTTTTTGTGTTTTTCTCCCGTCGGCTTTAATATATATCCGCGAGGCAGCAGCATCGGCAGCGGAGTAATGACGTTCTAAAGGGGGAAGAAGCGGGTGTGCGCGCGTGATGCGGACGTGCGTGGAGACGGGTCTAAGAATAACAAGGGCATGAGGGGGAGCGGCAGAGAAATCCGACTCCGCCGGTAACGAGAACCGCTCCGGCCTGTGGGGGTGAGGCGGGGGTGAGGGGGTGTGGCGGCGAGCGCACGTGACCCCGGCCTCGACCCAATCGCGTGGCCGTGATATCGCGATATACGGCGATATCACGATATATACCGCGATATCGCGATATACCGTGATATCGCGATAAACCGTGAGGTCGCGATATACCGTGATATCGCCATATTCCGTGATATCGCAATATTCCGTGATATCGCGATATACCGTGATATCGCGATATACCGTGATATCGCGATATATCGTGAGGCCGCTGTATATCGTGAGGTCTGAGAGCTCCGCGATAATCGTATCGTCCGATCAGTGTATTCATCAAATCCGTAGCTTAGGAAACAGCGCCCACATCACAGAAAAATAGTCCATAATAGAGGTTTTTGGGTTAGATCGCGTAAATGTGTCGTTAATTATCAAATAGAGCAAGTCAAGATCTATAAGTATCTTGGGGTCATCCTGGATTCAAAACTTAGTTTTGAAGATCACATTGATTATATTGGTAAAAAGACAAAAATAAAAATTGGTTTTCTGTATCGACACAAGCACTGCTTCCCCCCAATGCTCCGTTTGGAATTGATAAAAGCTACCATACTGCCTCTACTTGACTACTGTGACGTCGTGTATAAATCAGCCCCAAGTACTGTACTGAAGAAGCTTGATTCCATCTATCACTCGGCCTTAAGATTTCCATTGAACTCCTCATACAGGACTCACCACTGTGATCTCTACATTGGGTCAAACTTAACATCTCTTAATGTTCGACGGCTTGTGCACCAGATCTTATTTATTCACGATGTACTTACAAAAAATTCCGCAGACTACCTACTGGATCTCCTCTCTGTTTCAAAGAACAAATTTGACCTAAGGTCTTCGCTCATTTACCAGCTTCACATACCCTATTGCCGTACAAAAACTGGAGGAAGGGCCTTTGCTATTGATGCCCCCAGGGTCTGGAATGCTATTGCCAATAAACTGCAACTTGAATCACTACCTATGAGATCTTCACTCAAAACTGCTCTAGAGGAGTTGTACAACCCTAGCTGCCACTGCTATTCAGTGGCCTAAAATATGGCTCTAGATTTTGGTGTTATAATTTATTTATGTAGTTTATTGTTAAAAATTCGGTCACAGTCCCTATGATCACTGTTACATTGGATTTATGGCTTTTATTTTGGTGCTTTCGAAAAGTTTTTTTTGTTTTGGCCATGTTTTTGTTTATTGTAGTACGGAGTTAGACTGATGGCTTTAATCTTAGTTGTCTTGTGGTTGTTGTTGTTATTTGACTTGCATCCCACTGGGATTTTTGCACACAGCGTTGGTGTACGGTGCTATTTCATGAATATTTTGATATTTTTTTCCTGTATTTTCTGTTTGCACAATCACATAATCACTTTAAGATGTTTTCTTGTTCATGTTTTTTTGTTTGTTGCGGTTGCACCGGATTCAAGAGCCGAATGGCTCACAGGGATATACCAAATAAATGAACTATGAACTATAAACCGCCCCCCCCACCAGGCGACAAAGACAATTACAGTACTCGTTTTTTTTCGGTAAAGTCACATATGTAGAAATACAAGAAAAATTATATTAAAACAAAAAACAATCACGACGTTTCGATCACAACGCAAGCGATCTTCATCAGGTGTCAAGAACAAATCACGGAGGTAAATACAACAAAAAGATGAGAGACGAGAATTCAACAAACCTGAAAAAACATTATGTGAAGCCACATCCAGTCAGGTCAACAACACAGTTAGACAACTTCCTGGCGGACCACGAATTTCAGAAGAGTGTTAAATTTCGTGTTCAACCTTTGGATTGCACATACCAGCATAGATAGAATGAAAAATACGAGGTACACGGTCAGTAGAAATACATATACAAGTCCACCAAGAGGTAAGGAGGGAGGAAAGACAGACAGGGATTTCTACACACGTGACTTTACCGAAAAAACCAATGAGTAATTTTATGCAGTCACGAAAGCTTTAATACTTTACACTTACAGCAGTAAAGTTGTGTCACGCCAACAGATCGTGCCAATTCCTTACTCGTACAGAACACATCGGTGTGTTGGACAGTAAAGCCACAACGTTTCGCCAGTAATTACAACCAGCAACATCAGGCGACGGCCAGATTTGTGTCAGAATAATCGTGCTGTGCACGATTAACTGCGCCAACGTTCGACCGGAAACGGTTACCGGTTCCGAAAGTCATTCGTGAACCGGTAACCGTTTTTCAACAACCAGATTATTTGTCATTATTGTTTTGGTCGTTTATTACAGATAACATCGAACACTGCAAGTACTGTAGCAGAGTTTTTCCACGTTAATAGGGTCATATTAACGTGTCAAATGTTATTTCACAAGTGCAAACAAACACATCTCTCTCTCTTTGTTTGCCATATGAAATACTCGGGGTACTACCCGGCTTCGCCCGGGACTTGGATTCACCACGCCCGCCGCCTTTGTCTCCCCAGTGGCGATGTTCACACAGCAGAGCAGTTACTCGTTTGATGCTGAGTCGACCTAGGGGAGGCCCAGGACCGGTTAAAATAATCGTCACCGGTGGTGGCCGTGAGCGGGAATCCAACTTGGGTCGCCGGGTTCGTAGTGCAGCGCGCTAACCACTACACTACAATGCGTTACGCTTCCACACACACAGACACACACAGACAGCGCGCTAACCGCTACACTACAATGCGTTACGCTTCCACGTGCGCGGGTCACGTGACAGATTTGACGTCACAGCTCACTTGCCGTGCAAAAAATATATTCATTATTGAGATCCACCCCCCCCCCAAAAAAAAAAACTAAAGTGTATTTTTATAATTTTTGCATGCTGTACAGTCTGGAAAGTACCCAAAAAGTACCCACATGGCAAATTTCAAGTTTGTTGCATGTCGGCAAGTACGCTAAACATTTTGAACAGACACACATTCACAACTTTGCCTTTTATATATATGGAGATATTACATAACAGTGTGCTTTCCACATCAACCAAATATATTATAAATATATTATTTAACATCTATTTCGACTACGTAGTTCGTGAAGCCTTCAATAGCTGTACTGGAGCAATTTCCATCTGGTACAGATACAATGGGAGGCTGATCGATGCCTGGGTGCGATCAAGGGATGGCGCCCTATTGCTCAACCATGTTATGTATGCCGATGATCTGGTAATTGCTGCTCACTCAGAGGAAGAGTAGGAGGCGCTGCTGCTGAACGTGGAGCTTGCCACTAAGAGGTGGGGACTTTCGATTTAAAGCTTTCGTGACTGCAAGGATTCATCTTCTTTGGTTCTTTCGGTAAAGTCACGTAGAATGAGAATAAAATAATAAATTGATAAAATAAAATAACACAATAATATTCTCACGACGTTTCGGCCACAACACAAGTGGCTGAAACGTCGTGAGAATATTATTGTGTTATTTTATTTTATCAATTTATTATTTTATTCTCATTCTACGTGACTTTACCGAAAGAACCAAAGAAGGTGGGGACTTACCATCAGCCCCACCAAAACTAAGCACCTGCCTGGGTATTTTGTACCATCGGACACTCCACCCCCACAACTCCCAATTGGTGATAGGGCAGTTGTGGAGAGAGTGGAGAGTTTCCCATGCCTGGGCAGTGTGCTCATGACCGGCTCCGGTTTAACAGCAGAGGTCTCACTCCAAATCAGTCGAGCGGCATTATCTTTTAATCGGTTGCGTAACGCTGTGTGGAAGCTACCTGGTCTGTCGCTCCACACGAAGTTTCAGGTCTTCTCGGCCACGAACTACGTGGTCGAAATAGATGTTAAATAATGTGGGAGCCAGAGGACATCTCAGTCGCACCCAAAGGTGTACAGGGAATGGCTTCGACTCCCGGCCATGTAGTTTTACCCGGGCCCGCTCACCATCATGATGGTCCTTAATGATCATGAGCAGAGGGTCAGGGACTCCGAAAGCATGAAGAACAACCCAGAGCCCAGGCCTACTGATGGTAACATAGGCCTTGACTAGGTCAATAAAGCAGAGATGCAGGTCTTGTTGGAATTTCCTACACCTCTGCTGTAGCAGACAGACAGAAAATATGGCATCTCTGTAGGACATCCGGGTCCTGAAACCGCATTGGGGCTCCGCAAGCCTCTCCTCAGCGTGCCTAGCAAGGTGATGTTGAATAATCCTTGCCAGGACCTTTCCCGGCACACTGAGGAGTGAGATGCACCTGTAGTTGTTACAGTCTGTGCGGTCCCCCTTCTTAAAGAGAGGGACCACCAGGACATCCTTCCAGTCCTGCTGAACCCGTCCAGTAGTCCAGACTGTTGTTATGATGTCATGTAGGGCAGTCTGTGCACAAACGCCACCCTCCCTCAGCATTTCACTTGGAAGATCATCTCTGCCCGGTGCCTTTACTGGTCTCAGACTCTGGATTGTCTTTAGTACTTCCTCAACAGATGGCACCTCGGCCAGCCACTCACAGGGGGTGACTTCCTCTTCCAATATTTGAGACACTGCAGCCTCAACAGGGTCATCCCTACTTTGTCCCACGTTGTTATCCAGGCTGAGCGATGTCCCCTCCCCCAGGACCTCACAGAAATGCTCAGCAAATCTGCAAACCTTCTTTCCCGTAATGATGGTAATCGGTGTGGTGCTGCAGGTTACTTTTTTGATGGAATTAAAGAGCGATTTGCAATCGCGGGCCATTGAGGCAGACTCCATCTCCTCAGAAACCCGCGACCACCACCCATCCTTGCAGCGCCTCACGGCTCTCCGAACCTCCGAGCGAAGGCTGTGGTAAGCCTCCTCATTCTCCGACGTGGGATGCTGTAGCCGATGAGAGTGGGACCGTCGCTTTTTCTCAGCCAGCTTGTACACCTCCTCTGTCAGCCAGGGTCTCTGGGGAGGTCTGGATCGTGTAGCCAAAGCAGCCATTGCAGCTGCATGAGTCACAGTCCTAAACCTTGCCCATTTCCCCTCGACATCAGGAGTGGGGGATGATGCCAACCCCAGCCGCAAGCGATGATTAAATTCTCGC